ACTTAGGCCTGCACCATCTCTGCGAGGGGCACTGCCCACGGCTGCGTGTCCACCGATAATACGGTGGAAGCAGTCTTAGAGACACCCCTCACCCCCAACACATACACACACACACATGCACACACACACGCACACACACACACCACTGCCACCGCCACCAATCAGGGCAGCACGGGCCAGGAAGCACCGCGTCAGTGTTCCCTGGCAGCCTCCCCGAATGCGACCAGCCCAGAACCTGCCGCACCGAGCCCAAGATTCCACTTCTGGTCCAGCTCCCTGCTAAAGCGCCTGGGAAAGCAGTGGAGGATGGCCCAAGTGCCAGGGAGTTCCCGGCTTCTGGCTTGGTTGGGCCTGGCCCAGACCTGGCCACTGCAGCCGTATGGGGAGTGAAACAATGGGTGGAAGAGGAGAGGGAAGAGTACTCAAACGGCAGCAACAGCGTGTGCTGAAAAGAGGCAGACCTTCCTAAGACAGCACGAGAGGCACAGGTGTGTGGCTGGGGGCTAACTGCATCTTGCGGGGCAGCAAGTGATGGCTCAAGTACTGGGGTCCCTGTGGCCCCTGTGGGAGACCTGGATGGAGTTCCTGGCTCCTGGTTTCAGGAGGGGCCAGCCCTGGCTGCTGTGGGCATTTGGGGAGTAAACCAGTGGATCGAAGCTTGCTCTCGCTCGCTCTTTCTGCCTTTAAAGTAAAGTAACAATTAAAAAAAAGAGAGAGAGGCTGGCGCCGCGGCTCACTAGGCCAATCCTCCGCCTAGCGGCGCCGGCACACTGGGTTCTAGTCCCGGTCGGGGCGCTGGATTCTGTCCCGGTTGCCCCTCTTCCAGGCCAGCTCTCTGCTGTGGCCAGGGAGTGCAGTGGAGGATGGCCCAAGTGCTTGGGCCCTGCACCCCATGGGAGACCAGGATAAGTACCTGGCTCCTGCCATCGGATCAGCGCGGTGCGCCGGCCGCGGCGGCCATTGGAGGGTGAACCAACGGTAAAGGAAGACCTTTCTCTCTGTCTCTCTCTCTCACTGTCCACTCTAAAAAAAAAAAAAAAAAAAGAGAGAGAGAGAGAGAGATTCTGTGGTTCAGCCCAAGGGGGAACTAGCAGATTCCTCTCAGCCATCTCACAGAGCTTCCAGCAAGCAAGTGAGAAGAGTGCGGTGAAAGGTCTTTGTAGCTTACAAAGCATTATGGGAATATCAGTCACACTGTAGTATCAGTGGTAGTAAGAAGGAGCCATGCCACCCCCCTAAATGATACAGCCCCAAGACTTCACATCCCCGCTCTGTGGGAGGCTTGGATCCTCTGCAAAACCCTAGCCTCCCCCCCCCCCCCCCCCCCGCCGGGAACGGCAAGCTCCCACGCTGACTGCAGGGGAAGTGCCCAAGGTGCGATTCTCGAAGGCTGGGAGTGCCGCTGTGCAGAGCGGGATCGGACCGTCTTCGGCGACATGCGTTTCTCCACGCCACACCGACCCCGCAACACCACTTCCAGAAAAGCTCAGTGTCTGCCTCCTTCTCGAGGCCACTGAAGCTCTTCCCTCTGGACTTTCTGCGGCCAGGGCTCAGGCCCCGCAGCTCCCAGCTCCGTTTTTGCAGACTCTGCCGTCACTCCCGAAACAAGGCACGCCTCTGAGCTGCGCGTGGCAAAATAGCTCTCCCGATTAACACCTGCACTATGTTTCAGGAAAAGCCTTTCCAAACTGTGATGTTGCACTCCTGCAACAGTCCCAGGGAGGAGGCACAGTCAGCAGGCAGCTCAGAGGGGACGGCAGACCTGGGTTCGCCTCTCCGGCCCCGCTATCAGCGAGGACTTGGCCATTCATTTTGGGTGCTTCCTCTCTGCCCAGACACAGAACACTACCCAGGTACCCAAGGGCGGACTTTCGGCAGAGCGAGGCATTTCATTTAGCCCGTCGCCACAGCCTCTTACCTGCACTGTGGAGAAGAAACCACCAACAGCTCTCCCCTGGGCAGCCACCCACCCCCAGGACCCCGCAGCAGAGGTTGCCAGCTTCAAAAGCAGTCGAGATATTTTGGGGCTGGTGTTGTGGCACAGCAGGGTAAATCACCACTTGTGACACTGGCATCCCATATGGGCACCTGCTTCCAATCTGGCTCCCTGCTCATGTGCCTGGGAAGGCAGCAGAAGACGGCCCATGTGCTTGGGTCCCTGCCACCCATGTGGGAGACCCGGATGCAGTTCCTGGCTCCTGGTTTCAGTCTGGCCCAGCCCTGGCCATTGCAGCCAACTGAGGAATGAACCAGTAGATAGAGGATCTCCCTCTATTTATTTGAAAGAGTCAAGATATTTCAAAACAAAAATCCCAGTTTCTGGCTTTTCTTGGAGGCAGAGCTGGTGTAATGTCCGGAGTGGAGCACGGGTTTGTGCCCAGTGCCTGTGCCACAGTCCCCGTACTGCCGGGAGCAGGCTGTGACGTTCCGTGGCTGGCCCAGAACAGCCGAATTTGTACCCATTCTCTGCTCACACAGGCCAAGTCCCAGGCACAGGGCATCCCACCACTGCGACCTGCAACACCAAGACGTGCGCTGAGTGTGCGTGGGTGTGTTCTGGAGAACTCTGTGTAGGTGAGGAAACTAGGCCCGCCCCTCCGACGCACGTAGGGGAGCTGCTCCCAGAGGTGAAGGGGTGAAGGGCTTTGTTCCCTCAGACCCTTCCATTAGGCCCCTCCTCCCTACTGTCTGCTCCCTCCCACTCTCCTCTCTGACTCATTCATTCATTTACTCATTCATTCACTGGCTCAGAATTTTTTTTTTTTAAGATTCACTTATTTTGAAAGATTTATATATAGAGATCTTCCATCCACTGATTCACTCCCTAGTTGGCCCCAGCAAGCCGGGATCCAGGTGCTCCAACAGGGTTCCCCACGGGGGTGCAGGGGCCCAAGCACTTGAGCCATTCTCCGCTGCTTTCCCAGGCGCATTAGCAGGGAGCTGGATTGCAAGTGGAGCAGCCGGGACTCAAACCAGCGCCCATATGGGATGCTGGCGCTGCAGGTGGAAGCTTAACTTCTACACCACAGCACTGGCCCCCAAATAAACAAACTTTAAAGCGGGGAAGCCCAGCAGGTGTCACGTGGGGTGCTCCGTTTCCCTATCACAGCGCCTGGATCCAAGTCCCAGCTATGCTTCTGACGCTGACGTGCACGCTGGGAGGAGGCAGGAGATGGCTCAAGTACTTGGCTCCTGCCAGCCATGAGGGAGAGCCAGGTTGAGTCCCAGGCTTCTGGAACTCGGGGAGCGAACGAGTGGACGGAAGATCTCTCTCGATCTGACCCTGCCTTTCAACTAAAGATAAATAAAGATGTGTGTGGCCGGCGCCGCGGCTCACTAGGCTAATCCTCCGCCTAGCGGCGCCGGCACACCGGGTTCTAGTCCCGGTCGGGGCGCCGGATTCTGTCCCGGTTGCCCCTCTTCCAGGCCAGCCCTCTGCTGTGGCCAGGGAGTGCAGTGGAGGATGGCCCAGGTGCTTGGGCCCTGCACCCCATGGGAGACCAGGAAAAGCACCTGGCTCCTGGCTCCTGCCATCGGATCAGCGCGGTGCGCCGGCTGCAGCGGCGGCCATTGGAGGGTGAACCAACGGCAAAGGAAGACCTTTCTCTCTGTCTCTCTCTCTCACTGTCCACTCTGCCTGTCAAAAAAAAAAAAAAAAAAAAAAGATGTGTGTGAGCGCTTTTGTCCACAGACATTTGTTTAGATCCACTTTCCTACTGGTGTTTTAATTCAACATTTAACTTATTAATTCACTCAATGTATTAATGTGCTAATCGAATCTCATCAATTTGATTCCTGTTTAACCAAAAGAACCCAGGAGAGCTGGAGCCGAGAGAACTGCTGCCTGCTGGAATGCAGGCAGGACAGCCCGAGGGGAAGCAGCCATCCTGGGCCACAGAGGGAAAGGCCACGCTGTTTACACAGCCGTGGCTCTGCAAACGCTACTCACAGCTCAACAACTTAGTCAACTGGGATTACGCTGTGTTTCTCTCTCAGCTTAAGAAAAATATAAACAAAGTTGGCTTTTATCTGCTTGGCTTTCCTATGTCCTTATACTGATTGTATTCTCCACCAACTACCAGAAGTGTAAGATCTCCCTCCAGGGTCCATGTCGTCTTATTTCTTGGCCACCTCCGTCCTAGGCATCTGTCCTCCTGCCATGGTTTCCAACGGCTGCTCTCCCGGCCTGCGGCCAGGCCGCCGTCCCCTTCGGCCATGCCTTCAGTGGCATCCGGAGATGGTCTGTACTTCCCACCCGTGGGGAACATCCTGCCTCCTACAGCAAGTCTCCCTGCTCCTTGTTTTGGTGCACCACACCCTCCAGTAGCTTCCCAAGAAAGGCCACACGGACAGGTAGTAAAAACCTTACCCTGAATTCACAATTTGGCTAATTTATAAAACTATCCGTCATAAATCATTTGCAAGTCTTCCACCATGGTCTTAGTCACAAGGCAGGAGCAGACCCAGGATTGAAACCCAGGCACTCGGACATGGGATATAAGTGTCCCAAGTGGTGGCTCTCACCACTATGCCAAATGCTGGTCTCTGGGGCCACACTGTGGTGTAGCAGGTAAAGCCTGGTAAAGCCTGCAGTGCTGGCATCCCATATGGGTGCTGGTTCGAGTCCTGGCTGCTCCAGTTCCAGTCCAGCTCTCTGCTATGGCCTGGGAAAGCAGTAGAAGATGGCCCAAGTCCTTGGGCCCCTGCACCCGTGTGGGAGACCTGGACGAAGCTCCTGGCTCCTGGCTTCGGATCAGCGAAACTCTGGCCATGTGGCCTCTCTCTGCCTCTGCCTCTCTGTAACTCTTTCAAATAAATAAATAAATAAATAAATCTTTAAAAAAAATGCTGGTCCTTGGGAGAGTAGATTTTAAGTGTTCTGAAGATAAAATATAGTAAGTATGCAAGGTAATGCATACGCCATTCCACCATGTGCACATATTTTACAATGCCATTTTGTATGATAAATACCAGTTTTTATTTGTCAAAAAAAAAAAAGTCAGGATTTTAAAAAGGTCACTGGCAGGTCAAGGAAAAAGAGAAGTAATGATTTTACAATGGCCACCCCAAGAATCGGCCTGGGAGAGGCAGTCTGTCTGGAGTCAGCACGGCCCCTGGTATCAAAGCATTGGGAAATACAGATAGCTGGAGTTAGGAGGAGCTGGAGCCAGTGTCGAACCCAGGGGTTGCATTGCAATACAGGACTTGGACATCCTAACTGCTGGCACAGACTGTCTAACAAGGGACAAGACGGCACTGAGGACGGTGCCCACAGCAGCAGACCAGCCACGTCCACGTCCACGCCCACGCCCACGGGAAAAGTGAACGCTGGCCGTGCCCTAATGGAAGACGGGGGATTCACAGCAGAAGCAGCAGCGGACAGCACGTGCGGCTCGGGGGGCTCTGACTGAAGAACTAAAGCGGGGCACGCTCTGCCCGATGGGCGCCGGCACCCGAGTCACAACGCCGCACACAGGAGCAGGGCTTTCAGCGGCATCAGTGTCTCCTTGAAGAAGCTGTAAAGGGAGCGGAAACGCGGCTGTGCCAGAGTGATCCCGAAGACGGAGCACAGGCACAGCAGTGGCTACCGGCACGGGACGAGGCCCAGTGACAGTCAAAGCAAACCGCTGGCCAGCAAGGACAGCACGACAGCGCTTCGGGATGCTCGAGGCACTTTGCTCATGACCTTCCGGAGTGCTGACGAGCAATGACGCACGCAGTGGCAGAGTGCTCTGAGAAAGCCGGCCCGGCTGCGGCAGGAAAACACCCAGGAGGCTTCACCCGGGCCCTGTTCCCCCGCTCTGCTCCTGCTCATTCCCCCCATCAACAAGGACAATTCTGCAGGAGTTTTGATGGGAAATCCACCCATCCAGGCATTCCCCTGACAGGCCTGGACCGTCCCCCTCTGACTTCTGTGTCCTAACATTAAAAAAATCTTTAATGGCACAGGTGTCGTGGTGCAGAGGGGTAAGCTGCCATCTGGGACACCTGACCCCTTATCGGAGTGTCTCGGATCGAGTCCTGCACCCCTTCAGATCCACCTGCCAGTTAATGTGCCTGGGAGGCAGCAGATGATGGTCCCAGTACTTGCATTCCTGCCACCTGTGTGGGAGACCCAGCTGGCGTTCTTGGCTTCTGGCTACAACTCTTCCTAGACCTGGCTGCGGTGGGCATTTGGGGAGTGAGCCAACTTAACCTGCGATGCCACAATGCCAAGCCCTGATTCCAAGTGTCTGGAACTTAATGGAGTTTATGCTGAAAAAACAATTTATATTTTTATATTTATTTTTTTTAAAAAATTTATATATTTATTTGAAAGGCAGAGTTAGAGACAAAGAGAGAGAGGAATAGTCAGAGAGAGAGAGAGAGATCTTCCATCCTCTGGTTCACTCCCCAGATGACTACAACAGCAGGAGCTGGGCTGGTCCAAAGTCAGGAGCCAGAAGTTTCATCCAGGTCTCCCATGTGGGTACAGGGACCCAAGCACTTGGGCCATCCTCTGCTACTTTCCTGGGCACATTAGCAGGGAGCTGGATCAGAAAGTGGAGCAGCTGGAACTTGAACCGGCACCCATATGGGAATTCCTGCACTGTAGGTGGCAGCTTTACCAGCTATGCCACAGGGCCAGCCCCATATTTCTTTCTTTCTTTCTTTTTTTTTTTTTTTTTTGACAGGCAGAGTGGACAGTGAGAGAGAGAGACAGAGAGAAAGGTCTTCCTTTGCCATTGGTTCACCCTCCAATGGCCACCGCGGCCGGTGCACCGCGCTGATCCGATGGCAGGAGCCAGGTGCTTCTCCTGGTCTCCCATGGGGTGCAGGGCCCAAGCACTTGGGCCATCCTCCACTGCACTCCCGGGCCATAGCAGAGAGCTGGCCTGCAAGAGGGGCAACCGGGACAGAATCAGGCACCCCGACCAGGACTAGAACCTGGGGTACCGGCGCCACAGGCGGAGGATTAGCCAAGTGAGCCATGACGCCGGCCAAAAAAAATAAATCTTTAAAAAAATTAAATAAATGAAAACCACACACAAAGCTATCAGAATGGCTAAAATGACAAAGACAACACTAAGTGTGGCTGAGGATACACTGTGACTGGAATGCACACAAGTACACAGCTGGCGGGGCTGTAACTGGTGCAAGGGGCAGGGCAGGCACTGGGCGCAGCAGCTGAGCCGCCACTGGGGACGCCCACATCCCATATCTGCGTGCTGGGGTCCCAGGCCCAGTTCCGCCCCTGCATTCCAGGGTGTGTGGCAGCAGCACCCTCTCCCCAGGTCACGTCAATCAAACTGTCTGCAGGAGGGCTGGCCATTCGTCTTAGTGCTTGAGAGGCCCATGATCTCACTCCCAGTCCCAGCTTCCTCCTAGCTCACCCTGGGAGGTAGCAGGTGATGGCTTAAGTGGTTGAGTCCTGTCAGTCCTCTGGAAGACCCAGACTGGTTCCTGTCTCCTGTTCTCAGTCTGGCCCAGCCCTGGCTGTTGAGGGATGTGAGGAATAAATCCGAGGGTGGGAGAGCTCTCTGTCTCTCAAATAAATAAATAAAAATTATTTTAAAGAAATGGTACAACCATCTTGCAGAACAGGTTGCAATTCTTTAATAAAAATTTAACTGTGACATATAACCTAATAATTTCTTTTTATTAAAAAAGATTTATTTATTGGACAGGTAGAGTTACAGACAGTGAGAGGGAGAGACAGAGACACAGTTCTTCCATCTGCTGGTTCAAATGGCCGCAATGGATGGAGCTGAGCCGATCCAAAGCCAGGAGCCAGGAGCTTCTTTGGGGTTTCCCACATGGGTGCAGGGCCCCAGCACTTGGGCCATCTTCTACTGCTTCCCCAGGCCACAGCAGAGAGCTGGATCAGAAGAGGAGTACCAGCGCCCATATGGGATGCCGGCGTCCCAGGCGGAAGATTAACCTACGCACCACAGCACCGGCCCCCTGGTCATTTCGCTTAGCCATTTGTCCAAGAAGAATGAGAACGCTTGTGCATCCAATGGCTGCTACCATGAATGTTCATGACAACTTTATTCATCATGGTCCCCAGTGGCAACAGCCCAGTGTGCATCACCGGATGAACAGTGTGTGGTGCACCCAAGCAATGGGACATAGTGAAAAGGAATGAACTCCTGACACACCCAACAATGTGCAGTAGCTCAAAAAAACACTGAGCAGCAGCCAGGACTATCTCCCGCACAATTCTATTTACACAAAATCCTAAACACAAAATTAAAAACATGTCTGAAAGTGGACCATGGCTAAGGAAGGCGAGCAATTGGCCACCAAGGAGTGTATGCTGTGGTGCTGGCACACTTGTTCTCAAGGAAAGAGCCCTAATCTGTAGCACTTACTGACTTCGCTGCTATAAACACACCCGCAGGGCCAACCGTGAGCTACTAATGCAACATCAGCCATGGAGACCTGGGAGGAAACGAACACGATTGACTTAGCTGGTACCAGCCAGCCCTAGCACATGACCAGAGAAAGGCACAAAGGTGACGAAAGGGGCAGATGTGGGCCCATATTGGAGCGCCTGTTCAAATTCTGACTGCTCCACTTCTGATCCAGCTTCCTGCTGATGTGTCCTGGGAGGCAGTGGATGACGGCTCAAGCACTTGAGTCCCTGTCACTCACATGGGAGACTTGGATGCAGTTCTAGGTTCCCAGCTTTGGCCCGGCCCAGCCCCACCTGCTGTGAGCATTTGAAGAATGAACCAGTAGATGGAAGATCTCTCTTTCTCCCTCTCTGTTGCACCGCTTTTCAAAGAAATCTGTTTGTTTAAGATTTATTTATTGGGGCCGGCGCTGTGGCTCATTAGGCTAATCCTCCGCCTTGCGGTGCCAGCACACCGGGTTCTAGTCCCGGTCGGGGCGCCGGATTCTGTCCTGGTTGCCCGTCTTCCAGGCCAGCTCTCTGCTGTGGCCAGGGAGTGCAGTGGAGGATGGCCCAAGTGCTTGGGCCCTGCACCCCATGGGAGACCAGGAGAAGTACCTGGCTCCTGCCATCGGATCAGCGCAGTGCACTGGCCACAGTGCACTGGCCGCGGCAGCTGTTGGAGGGTGAACCAACGGCAAAGGAAGACCTTTCTCTCTGTCTCTCTCTCTCACTGTCCACTCTGCCTGTCAAAAAAAAAAAAAGATTTATTTATTGGAAAGACAGAGGTACAGAGAAGGAGAGAGAGAGAGAGATCCTTCACCCACAGGCCCTCTCCCCAAATGGCTGCAACAGCTGAAGCTGGGCTGGTCTGATGCCAGGAGCCAGGAGCTTCTTTTCCCACACGGGTGCAGGGGGTCCAGGCACTTGGGTCATCTACTGCTTTCCCAGGTGACTCATCAGGGAGCTGGATCATAAGTGGAGCAGCAGAGTCTTGAACCAGCATCCATATGAGATGCCAGCACTGCAGGTGGCGGCTTTACCAGCTACACCACAGTGCTGGCCCCAAATAAATCTTTTTTGGAAAAACGGTAATGAAAAAAGTTCTAAATCTTGATTATGTCACTAGTGCATGAGTTTCTACATTTCTCAAAACTTGACAAACTGTACCCCAAAGATGGTGTACTTCATTGCATAAAACTTGAATTTCTAAAATCACTGGTTATGTTTCAAATGAAATACTGTGTTAGCAACATTCATCCACAATGTCCATGTATTTGATATAATAGAGTGCAGCCATTCAAACAATTTAGGAGGCTTTTAGCAACCTGGCAAAATACCCTGCTGTATGTCTGCTTTGTGACAAAGGTAGAATAAAAAAATTTATTTTTCAGCATACGGTTGGTTGCCTATTTGTACTTTGTAGGTTGCTGGGTAACGTCTGGCTTTTTCAAAGCAGTGTCATCAGCTACTTGTTTGTTTTGTATTAAGAAGCAGAATGGTGGAAGGCCCAGAACCTGCAGCTGGACTGCCTGGGTTAGGGTTCAAATCCCAGGGGTCACTTCCCAGCTGGGTGACTTTGTGTGCACTAACCAGTGTCTTTGTACCTTAGTTCCTTGGTTGTACAAAGGGCATGACAATAGCACCCCCTCCAAAGGGTAGTTGTGAGGATTAAATGAGTTAATATCTGTGAAGAGCTTAGAAGAGGACAAAGAGGAAGTGCCTTATAAACATTTGCTATTATTTTCAGGAGGACAATAGAAATGCTGACTATGTGCTACACAGGTAAGCACTCTTACAAGCTCCGTAAAGAGCTATAACAGTGGTTTTCAACTGCAGGGACATTTTGCAATGTCTAGAAACAGGGAGCCAGCTCTCATCTGCTGGTTCACTCCCCAAATGCCCACAGAGGCCTGGACTGGGGCTGCCCAAAGCTGGGAGCCAGGAACTCAATCTAGGTCTCCATGTGGGTGGCAGGAATCCAACGACCTGAGCCATCACCACTGCCTCTCAGGGTCTGCATTAGCAGGAAGCTGGAGTCAGGAGCCAGAGTCTAGTACCAAACCCAAGTACTCTGACATGGAATACAAGTATCTTAATCCCTAAGCCAAATGGCCATGCCCACTGGAGCACTGGAGA